CAACAATATTATATTAGAAACTTAAATAATCTGTCACTGTATAAGTGTAGAACTGAACGTTTTAAAAACAGTTTCTTCCAAGAGCAATTGCTGAAGTGAATGCCACGAATTAGAGGAAGGAACCTACCTAGACTAAATGGTTGAACAATTTATATTTTAACTATTATCGTTATTCTTAACCTATTTTACCATGTAAAAATAACTATTAGCTAAATGTGACCTTGAAAGTAAACACATTGTAATTCATTTTTTATGCCAAAACGTGTCATTAAACACCAAATAATAAAAATAATAATAATAATATGGACTGCAGTTCTATATTAATCTTACCTTTTCATTTAGTATTTAGCTTTTTAAGTAGGGTATATTTACAACTATAAAAATTCTCATTCATGTGCAAAAATTGAACAACGTCGATCGGGAAACCTTAGTAATTCTTCAGCTCCCGCAAAGCCCACGCGAGATGCACGCATGTTTTATACCTGGCTTCACCCAATCATAGGGCCTTTTATCTGGAGTTAATGTTCCAGTATTTATAGAGTTCATCTAAAGTTCTCTTTTGTCCCGAGGGGCTACCCCTTTCCGTTCTCTCCCTGGACACTATAAAAAATTATAATTGTTGTTTCTGTTTTGTTTTCCCAAAGGTGATTCTGATTGGAGGGGAAAAAGGAAACGACATTCCTTTAAAAGAAGTGATCATGTTCGACATAAAATCAGGAAAGTATAGCATGCTTCCCTCCATGAATCATGCAAGGAGAGGTTCCTCAGCTATTATCTCCGGTGACCTCATTCTTGTGATAGGCGGCTACGGTAATAAAGGAGCAACCAGATCAGTGGAACGTTATGACGTCAGCGAGAAAAGTTGGAAAGACCTACCGTCCATGAAAGAAGCACGTGGTCACACAACTGCCGTTGTATGCCCAACGTTTTGACTGCCTGAGTGAAATTGACAATGGTGTCTGGACATTGAGTGCAAGGAATTAAGTTTTCATATTGATTTAGATTCGGATTTGCCAAGCAAAAATTAACAAAATAAAGCCGATTAAAAATTGCCGGCCGAAGTCAACTTTTTCCACCTTTGTGAATAATTTGATTAATTCCTAATGTGTTTTTCCAAACAATATATCCGACGGTGATATCTCTGTTAAGGGTTATGCAATAGTTCCATAAATTCAAGGTGTCACAGATCCAATCAAGAGAATCTTAAGTAATTGTAATATTAAGGTTGCCTTAAAACCCTATTTGACTTTAGGCCATATTTTCGCAAAGCCAAAAGATCCTGTTAAAACAAATCAGAAAACTTATGCTGTATATTCTATACCATGCGGTGACTGCGATTTAATTTCTAATTCAAATTAGCCATCTTGAATTTAGTGAGTAAAAACTCTCTAAACGTATCTTTTTTTTTAATCTTTAACTTGAAAAAAACAATTTCTGTTCACACATACACAATGCTGAATAAGTAAGTTCAAAAACATAACTTTTGATCAGTAAATGTACTTCGTTACTGTATTGAAAACCATTTTTGAGAAGCCAGTATGTAACAAAGTAAACTTTTTCTGCAGTACTTTTACTTGGAACGAAGTCGTTTTAAGAAGTAACGTTTTACTTCGTTATTTTCATTTTGTGGCGAAGTATTTCGTTACTTTCTAACTTGTTTAAATTTACGGGATTTATTCCTGATTTATTTTAATTTTGGGATAGGTAATAGGACCTCTACTTGCGTCTGGGACCTCTCATTTCTGGCTTACTTATAAGTATTATTTATTTAATAGATTTCTCATATCTTCATTGGGGTCTGAAAAGTAGACCATTCTGTGCAATCTTGTATATTAGGTGCACGCATATGTAAATTCATTGGAGAAGCCCCCCCATACACATGCCACAAACACAATAGTACTTTTACTTTCACTTTCTACTTCAAGTATTTTTTAAGGATACTTTGTACTTTTTACTTAAGTACGTTTTGCCTCCAATACTTTTTACTCTTACTCAAGTCGTTTTATTGTTAATTACTTCTACTTTTACTCAAGTACAAATTCAAAGTAATTTAGGCACCACTGCTTTTGATAAGACTTTCTTTACTAAAGAACGGGATATACCATGTGTTATACGGAGGGAAACTTTTTAATGTCCACCTCGGTAGCTACATGAGGAAACCTAAGCTAAATTAACTTTTTATATACTGCCGAAAAACTCTATAAATAAGGCTTAATTTCTCAAGACCGATTCTCCGCCATTTTTGGGGTGCTGCTTCTCCCACGTTGAGAGTCTCCGTACCACACGCCAGAATATTGTGTTTAAAAAGTCAAGGCATAAGTGAGACACCTGCGCAGGGACATTCTTTTAAAAATTTACAACTGAAACAGGGATTTGAACAAAAAATATGGCTGGCAAATTGAATTTACACCTTCAGGACTCTGTAAAAGTTAAATTATGAAATATTTCCAAACACATCCAAGCATAGAGGGATATTATCTCTTCTCCATATTATCATTTTATGATAATGAAATGTATAGTACTTGTATATATCCTTTACAATATATATAGCAATCAACCGTATATGAGCTATTCTGCAATCTGATTGGTTGAGCTACTCACTGTTTCATATACGAAATGATTTAACTTTACCAAAATGTCAATTTTTCCTCATTGCACGTTTAGTTAAATTTAGTGACTATTGCTACTTAAGATTGTTTAAAAGAAGGACAAGCACTTTTAATGGGAATTGATGTTTCGTAATGTATGCTTTCGATCGAATACAAAAATGTGCTTATATTAATTTAAGTATATAATTCTATTTTCTGACGCTGCCGTTCCCGACAAAATTTCAAACCATTTTATTTTTGGCATCGATTGTCGAAAATTGGGAAATGTGTTTCGATTTAGTATCTCATTGCCACAAATTGAGTACAGGTGTACCCACTTTGTGTGACAGCAGTGCAATAGTCTTTTCGACATAATCCCCTATCGCTGTAATTGCTCATGCATGTCTGAAGCTTAAAACACAACTGCGTTAATTTTATGTTTCATTCTTCAATGGACTTATTCCCTAATGAACAAAATTTCGATCTAGACAAGTCTAGACGTAATAGTTCATCACAGCTTGAAAGAGCATCACAAAATTAGTAATATTCCGAAGTTTCGTTGCGAAATGTTGTAAAATGCGGATAATATAGCACTGCGAAGTTTGCCGTTTTTCAGTCTTTTTGTATATTACGCACGGGAAAATGATAGCGCTTTCTGAAAAAAGGTATCAATTTTCCATGCGTAATACAAAATGACTGAAAAACGGCAAACTTCGATCGCAGTGCTACATTTTCCGTATTTTACAACTTTCGCAACAAAATGTCGGAATATTACTAATTTTGTAATGCTCTTTCAAGCCGTGATAAAATTTTTGGCTAGACTTGTCTAGAACAAAATTTTGTTCATTAGGGAATAGGTCCATTACTCTATCAAATTTAATATTCATATATTTGCCGTGCACTTATATTTTCTTATATTAATTTAAGTAACATCATAGCTACCTCGAAATCGTTTGTCTCACGAGATACGAGGATGTCTAAAGCATGAGAGACGATTAGAAACTAATCATCTCAGAGGACGATTAGTTAATAATCGTCCCTCACAAAAGATAACACTTCATATAATTTATTCACAATATTAAAGTGGCACTGTCATTAAAATTTTTATTGTCTCAAACGAAAGAACTCTTAAAACTGTAAAGTAACTTCTTTTGAAAGAATTGGTTTCCATGGTTTGTTCTTGAGATATTTCATTTTGTTTGAAACTATGTGACGTCATTTACTCAATTACATATATATTTAATGAGATATCAGTAAATGTTGTGTATCTTTGCCATTGACGGATTTGTTTAAAAAAAACCCCAGTATGCTTAATGATGTGGATTAAAAGGTCTTTGGAAAGATTTCGATAAAATATAGCAAAGATACACAACAATTACTGATACCTCATTATATATGTAATTGAGTAAATGACGTCACATGGTTACAAAATGAAATATCTCGAGAACTAAGCATGGGAACAAAAATCTTCAAAAGAAGTTACCATACAGTTCTAAGAGCATTTTCGTTTAAGAAAATAAAAATTTTAATCTTGCAAACCTCATTAATTAACTCGAACATCTCCATAATCATTAATATCAAAAAGCAAACGCGCCTTTTCATTTCAACTTATTCAATCAAGTGTAACCGTTTTATTGTCTCGGTAGCTATGATATTACAACGTAATAGCATGGATTACGGTCGATTAGTGATGAAATGTAAAAGTCCCTCTGCACGCTTTTGGGTACATTTAATCACTCTCGGCTTTTGGGTACATTTAATCACTTTTCGACTTGAATGCCATAATATTACTTAGGCCCCGTTTACATGAGGTCGGGACGAAGTCAGACCGGAATGAAAATTGAAATTGTCAACATTTTTACATGAGACCGGTACGAAAATCACAAAATTTTCAATTTATTCCCCATGCCAGGCAATTTTCTTTTTAGTAGATGGCTATTGTTAGCATGTGTTGTTCCAATGTCAAGGTTACAGCCGAGACAGGTCTGAAATGCATTTGTGTTTACATTTATCCCGGTCTGAATTCATGCCGGTCTGAAGTCAGTCGACTTGGTCCAGCAGGCAGAATGACTTGAGACCGGTTTGAGTTATTTTCGTCCCGGGCTCACGTAAACTTCTACTATAAATAATACTATGACCGAAACGAAATGGTCCCGGTTTGACTTCGTTCCGAGCTCATGTAAACGAGGCATTATATATAATAATTCTGTTTTCTGACGTTGCCGTTCTCTGCAAAATTTCAAAACATTTTATTCTTGGCATGCAACGATGGATGAAAATTGGGAGATGTGTTTCGTTTTAGTATCTCCCTGCCACAAATTGAATACAGGTGTAGCCACCTTGTGCGACAGTAGTGCGATATAGTCTTTTCAAGCGTTGCGTTATCGTTGTAATTGCTCATGTATCAGACGTTTAAAACACAACTGCGTTCATTTTATGTTCCATTCTTCAGAAGAACTCGCTCAAACATGGAATCGAATTATTCTATCAATCTGATATTCATATTTGCTGTGAACGTATTGCTCTTATATTAATTTAAGTAATTCTGCATGTTTTCTGACGTTGCTGTTCTCGGCAAAATTTCAAACCATTTATTCCTGGCAACAATTGTCGAAAATTGGGAGATGTGTTTCGTTTTAGTATCTCATTGCTACAAATTGAATACAGGTGTGGCCACCTTGTCATGACAGCAGTACGATAGTCTTTTGAATACAATCCCCTATCGCTGCAATTGCTCATGTGCCTGAAAGCTTAAAACACAACTGCGTTAATTTTATGTTCCATTCTTTAGCAGAACTCGCTCAAAGATGGAATTGACTAATTCTATAATTCTGATATTCATATTTGCTGTGAATGTATTCTTCTTTTTCTCAGGAATATGTTTAAATTCCTTGGTTATATTCAGTTTCTTGAGATCCGTACAACTTCGAAAGAAATTATGTTATTTCATGATAATGGTTTTGTCCTGTTGCGATTTGTCCGCGCTTTTAATAAATAGTCCATTGCATGTGCTGATCGCGACATGGTGGTTGATTGGAAAGTTGGATGTAAATGTTAGATGGGCTTACATTTCCTTAAATTCAACAACAAGTTTCCTTGCATTTTCATTACTCGCTCTTTTGGTGATGAATTTCGATCGATATTTGGCAACATCTTATCCTTTCTTTCATCGAACATCGGTAACGAAGGGAAGACTTTTAACCCTTCTTGCAATACTGATCATCGTCGAAGTAATTTTGGGAGTGATATCTGTGGACGACTTTATTATACCAAAGAAAGTGCATGGTGTAATCTTTTTTATGTTCTTCATTCCTGCAATGTTATTTGTCAACTGCAAACTGTTTCTAGTCGTCAGGAAAAGTCGCAGGAACAAAATAATTGCACTCCAAATGAAAAAAGTCGTTCTCTTTGAAAAACATATCGAGTTGCTTGCTAGTGGTCGCTTGTGTTGTGGTGTTATCCATTCCAATGGGGGTCTACTTTGGACTAACGATAAACTCGCCAGAGACAACATTTACTTTGGATAATGCAAACCTTGCCGCGTTCTGGGCTAAAACCATGGCCTTGGTGACATTTAACTGTTTGATCTTCTACTGGCAAAACAAGGTGTTACGTACCGAAGGATTGAAGGTGCTGAAAAGCATGAGAATATGTCGACGGGTTTAATCCTATATAGCTGCACTAATAATCCTTATTCCAAAAATCTTAATGTTAATTAACGTTCAATGGAAACTCGTTACATTTCAAGATTTTAATTTTTTCTTACACGATTTTCTCATGGCTTATCTAATAGTGTCTTCATTATAGTAAATGTGATCACAACGAACTATAAACTCATATTGTGTCAAAAGTAGTCATGCAAGTTGTGTCAAAGATAGCTGAGCAGTTTTGGCATATTATATTGCGCAAATAATATTTCGTACTAATATAAGGGATTAGGTTTCAGTTATAAAATGAGACG